TGGTTAAGAGATCAGCTGCTAACCAAAAGGTTGGCAGTTCAAATTCACCAATTTGAATCCACCAGTCGCTCCTCAGAAACTCTATGGGGCAGTTCTACTCTGTTCTATAAGGTCACTATGAGTCAGAATTGACCCGACAACAATGGTTTTTTTTCTTTTTTTTTTCCCTGATTTGGTCATCTGCTATACTCTACTCACAACTCGTGGGCCAGGAAGAGGTGCTGATCAAATGTATTTAGAGGGTAAATGTAAGGCTTTCTCTAGCTAGTAGCTACTTCATTTCCCCTATCTGTCCCTTGAAAACACTTCTCACTACCTCCCAAGATACTGCACCTTTGAGGGGATGGGGGGAATTTTCCATAACTGATAGTACATCATGGATACACAAATATTAAGATGGCCCAACGTTTAAGTTTGAAAAGTGTTCAGAATTTCTCAGATGAAATGCATTAGATAAAGTACTAAGTATTAACATGCATGAAGAATATTCTATTATAAACCCGTTTTCACTTTCTTGCAGCTTTCCAAAAAAAATTAGCTCTTCGTGGTGAAATTTTCCATGCTTAGTTTCAGCCCAAAGGTGTTTTTTTTTCTTTTTTGCAAAGTTTGAGAAAAATATATTAGTTTTTGAGTTATGAGAAGATGAAAAAAGCCCACACAATTTTTCCACTTTGAAAGCAATTTCAGGATTTTTCTTTTTATGTACAGATAACTAAAAAAGGGCTGAAGTTGAAAAGTTGAAACTCTCCATGTGCCTAGTTCTCAGCGAGGTAGTTTCCTGGGTTATTGAGAGATGAAAATAAATGTGCATGTGTATACATACATAAACAGATATATATACATATACACACACACACACCTATATATAAGTAAATACGTAAGTAAATGAAAAAAATTGCATTTCTGCATACTAAATAAAAACTTTTCTCAGCATAGGGAACCTACTCTTCTCTGAAAGGAAGCAGTCTTTCACAAATCAGAGTAGTCAGTTGTTGACTGCCTGACCCCTGTGGTTTTCACCCATCAGAGTTCACAATGGGTCACAAGGAGATAACTGTGGAACTATTATGCACTATGTTAGGAGGATCCTCCAATTCCCTTCACACCCTCATCTTCCCTTCTATCCCCAGCTCAATTCTAGAATTCAGGTTTACTGTCTTGTGAGTTCTACTTGGCCACTCTTTCTGCCCTTGGTCCATGACCCAATCAATACCAACTCTCTTTATCTTCTGTCTCACACATGCACTCGTTTCTCCTGGTCCTCTTCTAACTCTGCCAAAAGCATTCATCTGCTTCCTTGAGTATTTGAAAAACTCAATTACTAAAGAAATAGCAGTAGAAACTTTAAGCAACCAGGCCAAATAGGTTTTGGTGTTTAGTGAAAGTAACTTACTCTCACTGTCTATAACCATAACCTTTCTAACTAACTCACACAGAAAGCAGATAATGAATGGGAAAGTTAGAAAACAGAATAGAGTCCTAACTCTGCCACTTACTAGCCAACTGACATATGGGCTAGACGCATAACTCCTTGGAACTTCAGTCTCCTTATCTGAAAAACTGGAAAAATTAGTTTGCTATATGACCTTGTTACATGTGAATATGTGCTGTAAATTTCAAATAAATGTTAGATATCATTCATGTTAATAATGACAATAACATCAATTAAGGAAAAAAAAAAAAAACTGATTCAGGATTTTAGACCCAAAGTATAAGTCACATATATCCTAATGAGAATAAGCAACTTTTATACGGACATGGGCAAAGATGAAGAAAAAATTCAATTTCCCTAGTTTTTAAGTACGCAGGCTTAAAAGACAGAGAGAAATGTGCTCCAACAATTATTCCTATTTCTCTTTCACTTTCAACATCTCTCTCTGCATGGGGCCATTCCCCTCAGCATACAAATATGTTAAATTCTTTCCTACTTTCAGGAAAAATATGTTCCTCTGACCAGCTTCTTTCTTAAGTTATCATGTTGTCTTCTCCTTTTTACCAGCCAATTCCTAGATCACTATCCATTCATCACGTAACTTCCTATAACCTCCTTTTCCCATTATTTCATTAAAAATGTTTTCTTCAAGGACACCAGTGCCTTTCCAACTACTAATACCAAAAATACTAACACTCACTGCTGTCAAGTTCATTCTGGCTCATAGTGACCCTACAGGACAGAGCAGAACTGCCTTCTAGTGTTTCCAAGAAGCGGATGGTAGATTCGAACTGCCGACCTTTTTGGTTAGTAGACAAGCTCTTAATCACTACACCACCCGGGCTCCCATCCTTACCCTCTTCAATCTTTGTTACCACTCAACTCTTTTACCTTATTCAGTTATCTACTGCCGCGTAACACAGCATCCCCAAACATATGGCTAAAACAATGATTTTTTTTTTATTCTGTGGGTCAGGAATTCAAACAGGGCTCAGCTGGACGGTCCTTCTGCTCCATGTGGCATCAGCTGGGGTCACTTGTACTCAGGTGCATTCTGTGGAGGAAACACGGGCTGAAAAGGTCCAAGTAGGCTTCACTCTAATGTGTAGCACCTCATGATCCTCCTAGTGGCTAGCTTGGACTTTTTCACAGCATGGTGATTTCAGGGTAGTTTGACTTCTAACATGGCAGCTGGCTTCTAACAGGGAGGAAACAGAAGCTGCCAGTCTGGGCCTGGGGTTCGAAATACCAGAACGGCACTTCTGCTGCATCCTATTGGTTAAAGCAAGTCACATGCCCAGCCCAGATTCAAGCCGGGAGGGAAACAGACTTCACCTCTTGCAAGAGGAAAGGTAAAAAAAATCCTTGGCCATCTTTAATCTACCAGTACTTGTACTGTTCTTGACATTCTCCTCCGCCTTCTCTTAGGTTCTGTGGTGTACTCTAGTCTAGGTTACTGGCTCTTATTAAACTTTTTTTGCCTCGACCCACAGTAAGATATACATTCCCTATGGTAATCCAGGGCATCAACACACACACATAAAAAGTAAAACAAAAGCTTCACTGTACCTTTACTACAATGCAATATGCTCTAATAGTTTCTATTCTACTCCATTCCATTATTCTGTTACATTAAAAAATGCTGCTCCACTGTTCACAAACATTTCACAGTGTCATTGATGGCAGCCTTAGCCATGTGACTTGCTCTGTCCAATGAAATGTGAAAAGTGACACGTGGCACTTCCAGGCAGAGGTTTTAAAAGGCAGTGCGTGGTTCGCTATTTCCTTTTTATCCTCTGCCATGAGACTGGAATATTTCAGATAGAGATTATTCCATCAACCTTGATTTTGGAATGAAGACTGCAGGGATAGAACTACATGGAGGCAGCCTATCCTCAAAGGACTTGTATTGTGAGCAAAAGGACTTCTGTTGTTATAAAAGCCACTGAAACTGTTACTACAGCACAGTCTTTACCTAGGCTGTTCTACTGGTTGTAACTCACGGAAGTGATTCACAATCTGCCAAAAGGTTGTAGTCAATAGTTTGGAAACCTATTATACCTTCTGCCTCTTTCTCTGCTTCCTCTGCTTCATCCTCCTTTCCCTCAGTGAAGTCATTCCCGGAGTATACATCTATAACCTCTTTCTTTTCTCTCTTGGTCTTCTTCATGATTTCTGACTTGGACTAGTAAACCTGCCCATTACCTGGTTGTGTTTGCCTTTTATTCTATATTCTTTGTCTCCCCAATTCACTGTGCCTTTCACTGAGGGACGAATTTACCTGATGTGTAACTATTATCATCACAGATCCTTCAGTGGCTCCTTGTTGTCCAGAAAACAGTCCAACTTTCTTGGCCCTCCCCCTCTATCAGCCTGGATTCTCATGGCACTGCCCCCTTCCTGCTCACCAGGCTACAACCAAATCGAACCACCTACTGCTCTCTTCAAGTTCCCAGTGTTAAAAACCATGTCTCTTTTTTCATACTGTTCCCACTGCTTAGAATGCATACCAACCCCCGCCAACACAGTCAACTCTCCTACTTTTAAATACTACCCATCCTTCAATAGCCCTGTTCAAACACCAGCTCTTCCATGAAGCTTTCTCTGATCTTCCCAGCTAGGAATCACCTCTCCCCTCAAAACACTCAGAGCCTTTACAGTACTTTCTCATCTTGCCTTCTGTTTCTTATCACTTATCTAGGGACAGAACCCTGATGACAATTCACATGGGTAAATGAACTATCTCCTAGTCTGCACTCTCCCTCCAGATTATTTCTCCTGTTGAACACAACTTAGTCACGTTATGTGAGTTTCTCACTAACACGTCTGATTCCAGACATGATGGCTCAGCAGAACAGTGGAAGTGTACCACAAAGAGTCTCAAGAATTGCACTGTTGACAGAATATCTGAATTTATTTTTTTCTCTAATGTGGATGAGGAGGAGCCCTGGTGGCACAGCGGTTAAAGCACGCTCGGCTGCTAACTAAAAAGGCCAGTGGTTTGAACCCACCAGCTGCTCCTCGGGAGAAAGACGTTGCAGTCTGCTTCTGAAAAGATTTACAGCCCTGGAAACCCTATGGGGCAGTTCTACTCTGTTCTATAGGATTGCTACGAGTTGGAATCTACTCGATGGCAGTGGGTTTTTTTTTTTTTTTGGTAGATGAGATGTAACTCTGAATAAACATATACATGATCTAACATGATATTCTAACTCTTAGGAAAGCTTTCCAAGCTTCTCAGCTGTAGCTGTAATGTGAGTCACTAAAATTTTGAGTATCTAAAGAACCACGGGGGATTCCAAAGGAAACAAAAGAGAAAAATGGCTGTGAATGATAGTAAAACCCGTGTACTTAATATAGTTAATTTTACTCTTCTTGTATCTTCATTTAGGAATCCTTGGGTAGCGCAAATGGTTCAGCACTCAACTACTAACAGGAAGGTTGGCGGGTCAAACCCACCCAAAAGTGCCTTGGAAGAAAGGCCTGGTGATCTGCTTCCTAAAGGTCACAGCCTTGAATACCCTATGGAGTGCTGTTCTACTCTGCATACGTGTGGTCACCATGGGGTGGAATAGACTCAACAGCAACTAGGTTTATTTTTTTTTTAATCTTCATGTAGGGTCGCTATGAGTCAGAATCGACTCGACAGCAGTGGGTTTGGTTATCTTTACTTAGGACCTGTTTATTCTTACTTGAGACAGAACTGTAACATGTTTATGTTTTCCCTACTCACAGCTAATTAGCAGCAATGAATTAGAATTAGAAAAGAGAAGTGGCATCTAAAACTGAGGGAGGACACAGGAAAACTACAAAAAAGACATAAGAAATTTAAAGATGAAAACCGCTACTACCCAAGAAATTTACAGACATAGGCAAAACCCTTTGACTACACTTTATTCTAACATAATAACACTATCAAAATGATGCCCTTGAATTATTAAGAAAAAAATTTCTTTATAATCAATATGGATTGTTGAAGACAGGTAAGTCAATAATATATTTTAGACAAGTTTTTATCCAATTGGATAAAAATAGTCTAGAGCTTAAGGGAGTGGGTTTATGTAATCTGGAAATTTCATTTAGAAAGAAGATATTTTTGCCAACCAGAACAGAAAAAGGAAACTCTGTTATTGTGCATTTTCCCCAAGGAAAGCCAAATAATATAAAAAATCAAGCTTTTGAAAGATCTAAGATCCATGGAATGGGGTTAAGTATTATCATCAAATGCTATAAAATTCTCAAGAGGAAAGTAACTCTAATTACTTGACATTCACCCCATGACTCACTGCCGAGCCCAGGTAAGAATCAAGGGTTTCCAACTCTCAAATCTTGAGCTTTATGCAAAAGACTTACTGGCAAAATCAGATGGTACATTTCAAACATATGAGCACGGATGATGAGACAGAGAAGATTCTGGATACTAGGAATAAGACTACTACTTTTTTGCTCCTGTTCCCTGCTCCCCGAAATTGCTAAAAGATTCACGGGGTCTCTCATTTTTTAAACTGTAACATAATGAATAACACATGAATCTAGTTGTGTATACTGCAGGGAAATACCATACTACCTGTAGCCTCTGCCATCATCCAAAGGTTGAAACATCAGATACCTTCTTTTTATACCCACAGCTAATATAACTGTACCCCAGCCAGGATTCAGACTGAGCCAAGGCTGAATCCTGGCAAGGCACCCTTCTCTCAGCTCTTATCTGTGACATGAAAGATGGGACCAGACTGTCTCCAGAGCCCATCTCTGTTCTAAGTTCCTATGAGTCAAAAAATAAATTGTATTTATTATTATAAGTCATGACAGTTCCTATTTAACAGACTTTCAAATGTCTATTTTCTCAAGCTTCTTTTTAAAATTTCTATTCTGGAAATTACTGTCAAAATATCTGAAACATTTTCAAATCACAGGCACCTAATTGCTTAAAGAAATAAAAAAAAACATTTTTAAATGCCAGATTTTTTAAAGAGGCAATTAATTTTCCATTATCTTAAAACACAGGTCAGACAATATATTCGACATATGAAATAAACACCTCTTAAAATGATCCTAAGACAAAGGTTCCCATAATTAGTAACACAAATATTGCAAAGAACCAAACCAAAATAAAACCAAATAAACCCACTACTAAACTACACATATGTGCTAAAAATCTTATGGGAGCCAAAAAGTCCAGTAAAAATAACAGAAGAGACAAAAGCACAAGTTTCTCATTATCACACTTCATACATTATAAAACATAACAGCTAACTTATTTTTGGCAAAATGATTATGGATCGCAACTCTGTGCCTTACACAAACTTATTTGATTGCTAAATGCATCTTAAATGGAGCATGTCATGCTAACTTCAGGCGTGCAGGCACTGCGCCGTCTTACACTAGCCCAGAGACACTGAAATTTCAACACTTCGGCAGGGATCACACCACCAATATTGACTGGCCCAGGTGTGTAAAGAGAGAGAGAGACAGACAGAGATTCAACAATGCAGAGTTAATTGAAACCAGATAAAGCTTTTGAATAATAAAAATCATACAGATGTTCACCTTCCTTCCCCCACCTTCCCCCCAAAAAAACGACCTTTATGGACAATTTATAGCACTCGTTATTTTCTAGAACATACCCTTTTTAAGAAGATAAAACGTGGTTTTGCATGTCTCTCTGAAAACTATAATCACAACATGAGTTATGTCTCCACAAATACACTAGGTTAAGCTCATGTTTCATCTTCTTTTTCCTTTTCACCACTATTCCTGCAAGAGCAGGAACACCTGAAAGTCGAGCAGTACAGTAATTAGAAAGTTAGAAAGCTGAGGAAGCAGAAGAAACTACATAGTCTTTAAAATGCATTGTACTTCTTTCTCAACAGACATTGTGAATGCAAGCCCAAATAGAGAGGGATTCAAAGCAAAGGCATTGAGCGACTGTTTTCAAATATACACAAGAGAAATCATACCTTACATGCAGAATGGATTTGGAGCAAAAAACAAACAAAAGCCAAAAGGACAGATCTGTGATTAAGTTAATAGATGGTGAAAAACACAGAAATGAGTATTTTCTTCCTTATGTTTATAGAATAATAATATTATTTCAAACATGCTAGCATCCTTTTCGATGTAGTTTTTGAAGTTTTAAACACCTGGAACAAATAAGAACCCAAAATTATTATCTCTTATCAGTTGGCTACATTTTATTTGACAGGACCAAGTCACTTCCTATACTAGGAAATACATTATTTTAATTTATATGTCTATGTATCTGCACACTTGCTTGCAGACCACACAAGTGAAATCCTAACTTCAATAGTGGTGGGGTAGGCAGCTTTTGACATGGCAACCAATGATCCCCATCTCTTGCTATTCATGCCCTTGTGCAATCCCCTCCCCTTCAGTGTGGACTGGACCTAGTAATTTGCTTCTGGCAAACAGAACAGAGCAAAAGTGATGGGATGTCATTTCTATCATTAGGTTACAGATTGTGACTTCCATCTTGCCAGCAGACTCTCTGGCTCTTCTCCTGTGCTTGCTCTGATCAACGAAGCTGGAGAGGACCACAAGGCAAGGAACTGAGGCTGGTCTCTGCCCAACTGCCAGCAACGAACTAAGGTTCTCAGTCCAACAACCCTTAGTTCCCTCAAGTGGAACTGAATCCTGTCAACAACCAAGCTGAGAGCACTTGGAAGCAGATCTTCTCAATTCAAACTTTCAGATCAGGCTGCAGCCCTGGCAGACACCTTAACTGCAGCCTTATGAGAGACTCGGAAGCAAAGGACCCAGCTAAGATTCCTGACCCACAGAAACTGTGAGATATTAAATGTATATTGTTCAATGTTACCACGTTTTGGGGTAATGTGTTACACAGCAAGGAATAACTAATACAGTAGTTAACCTAATGACTGAGACAATGATTCCACTATCATTTCCATAATAATAGCTAATACTTACATGGAACTTTTATGTTCCAGGCACCGTTCTAAATACTTTACATAATTCCTCACAAAAGTACTTTCAGGAACATATTATTATTATTCCTATTTTACAGGTGAGGAAACTAAGATACCGAGAGAATTGATAACTTGTCCAAAGTCACAGAGACAAAAAAAATGACAGCAAGTATTTGAACCCAGGTGTCCTGACTCTAGAGTCAGAGTTCACAATTGTGAGAAGAGACAGCATGCGAGCCTGGACACTGTAAAGATGGTAACCACAAGACATGATAGTACTAGAGGAGACTTAGAAGGCACAAAAGGGATTCGAAGCCATGCAAAATGCTAAAAACAAAAATAAAGCATGTTTTCTGATTAGGGCACTTGTTGGGGGGTTTGCAGAGTAGAAGCAATAATACAGTGAATGGAATACAATCTTGAATTTATTGAATTCACATTTGGAAATGAAATATACATTTTTTTATACTCAATATGAGAAAATTAAAAACCTCCCCTGGGCGTAAAAACCACAGCAAGGGAAGCGATAGCTTTACTTTTCCCAAGGGCAATTATAAGTAATAAGTAAGGGGTAAGCTGGTGGGAAAAGGAGCAAATTCCTAATGAGTAATGAGAACCCACTGGAGATAATTTATCACATGGAGGGAGAAGAATCAAAATTCCAGGACAGAGGTTGATGAAGGGACCACCTTCTATCTTGCATTCAGATGACTAGGTTTGTGCTTCTCCTCAATGCTCTCACACACTCAGCACTTAACACAATGTAGAGTCATCACATCTATTGGCTAGCCTGTCTCCTCCGTTAGACTCTGGTCTCTCTTATCTCAAACACCATCTTATTCACTGAATGTCCTCAACACACAGCACAGTGCCTGACACATGACAAGTGCTTAATATACGTTTGCTCAATAAAATCACCTTGTGAATGGCATTGATTCAATGGGTCATTTCAAAGGTATATGTTAGTCTAAGAGTTTTGTTTTGTTCTTTTTTTGAAGCCTCTGGTATCTGGTAGTTCACTACCTTTTCTGAGCACTTTAAATAGTACATCTTTGTGTTTCCTGTGCCTCCCTTAATATCCAGCACATAGTGGCAGCCAATGAGTCTTTAGTGACTGAATGAATGTGTGTCTCAGAAAGGCTGCCAAGCTACATAATAGAAGTTTAAGGATACAGCTTTATTACAAAGTAAAAATTTGGTGTTCCGTAAGGACACCTTTCTATCAATGATGATGACAACAATGTTCATGATAAATTCTTCTCCTGAAAGGAGGCATAAACATTTGCAAAATCCACTCCCAAAAGAGACAGACTCTTGTCTTGATTTAAGCTGGTAACTGCTCCTAAATAATCTTTCATAAAAGACAGCAAGTTATGTGTACAACGTAAGAACTCCATATAGCCCTAGACTCAAAGACATTCATTACATGAACATGCACTCATACGGGCCCACACTAATACGGAGACAAGGCAGCTACCAAGTATTCCTCTCTCTGTTCTGTTCAGCAGTTAAACAAGAGCTAGTAGACTGAGTTGACAAAAGAAAGAAGCAAAGCTGAGGAGGATTTACGCAAATACGTAAGCAAGCACCTACTACACCTCCTAAAGGATACTTACTGGAAGCTCAGGAGCATATTTCAACATCTGAAGGGAAATATAGCAGCCAATTGAATGGCCAATTAACACAAGTTTTATTTGCTTTGGCACATGAGTTCTCAGGAAAACTAGTTTGTGTTCTATTTGACCACGGAGTCCATAGATGTCCTTAATTTCTTGAGTATTTGAATCTAAAAGCAAAAATATGAGCATGTTTTTATTCAGTAAATGAAAACAATAATTTCAGTGGAACAAAACTAAAACAAAACTGAACAAAAAACCATTAACGATAGCAGTAGTTACCATTTATTGAAAGTCTACAATTTGCCAGTTATAGTATTCGGCGCTTTACTTACATTATATCAATCAATCTTCACAACAGCTCTGGAAAGGAGGTATTATTATCAACATTTGATAGGTGAAAAACCCAAAGCTCATGGAAATTAGGTGACACACTGACAGTCGCATACCTAAGAAGTGGGAGAAGTGAGATTCAAACCCAGGTCTCTCTGTCCTCAAAGCCCAGGAATTTTCAACTATCCCGTGAACTACTGTCAGTTTAGGCCAATGGTTTTCAAACTCGAGCGTTCATCAAAATCCCCTGGATGTTCTGTAAAAGCACTGATTACTGGGCCCCACCCCCAGAGTTTCTGATTCAGTAGGACTGGGTTGGGGCCCAATAATTTGCATTTCTAAGTTTCCAGGAGATACTGACGCTGCTGTTCCCAGGACTACACTTCTGAGAACCACTGGTTTATGCTAAATTATATTATCACTAGACAACTAAGAGAGTTCATGATACTGCTTCATTATTTTTGATAATGTTTTTGTTTAAAGAACTGAGGCTACAAGACGTAAGTAGAAATATTGTAAACTGTTTCTTTCAACCAGCACTCATTTTTGCCAAATTATATCTCTTCCACACACATACAACACAAACTCTTAATCCCCCTCCTTGCCTTTCTTTTTTTCATAGCATATAATGTCATTTAACATTCTATGTATTTTACTTAAATCTCCCTGCTCCTTCCCCTAGAATGTAAGCACAACAAGATTTTTGTTCACTGCTATATCCTCATTGCCTCGAAGAGTAGCTGGAGCATAAGAGGTTCTCAGTAACTACAATGCTTGTTGAATGAATAAATGAATATTTTGCCCTGGCCGTAGGATAGTGACCTGCTGCTATAACCCAGCCATCAATGGGAAAGATCTCCTGTGAACACCTCTCACCTGTACATGATTCTCTCTACCCACAGAGATAATCCTTTGGCATTTTCTGCTGTACTGAGGTGACTCTGTGGGACTACTTATGTATTAATAATTTATTCATTTTATGTGCACTGGATAAAAACCACCCTAGGCTATTTCTTTGCCCAAATCTTCCACAAAATACCTCAAGTGTCTACAGAGAAAGCTTTACTAAAAAGTAAGCAAACAAATCAATCAATCGCATTCTTAGTAAAATCTATCCTGCCCTCATGATGGATGACTCCTAAAAGTTGGCTCTGTAGTAAAACTGTGATTTAAAATCAGGTAGGAAACAAAAAACAAAACTGCCTCTTCTGGATTTCCTTTCTCATTAATAAACTTATAATCTGGACAGGCTCCCCAACTAGAAATGTTGTTATACTCTCAGCTTCTCCCTCTCATCTTCATCCAACTGGTTACCAAGTTGAGTTTGTTGATTGTTTCTCCTAAAAATTTCTTAAATCTATATCCTCCCCTTTATCCCCACTGACCCTGCAATAGTTTAAGACCTTAACACTTCTCACCAACACAGTAAAAACACTCCCCAACAGGTCTCCTTGTTGTGTGTGTCTCGGGGGCCGGGGGCAGGGGAGGGTATAACAGTCTCTTCCTTCTCCTTTCAATGTTCTGTTACCACCAAAGCAATCTTCCTGAAAACTAAATCTAATGTCGTCTTCCCTCCATTGTTCTCACTGTTTCGATGAGAAAGTACAAATTCTTTAGTGTGACTTACAAGGAGCTTCACAAACTAGTTCCAGTGACTTTTTCAGCCTCAAGTACTCCCCACCTACTTATTATGTTCTAGCCACAAAGAACTACCTGTTGTTCCTTGAACATGCCATGTTCTCTGTGACTCTGCAGAAGTTGCAGTCCTGACATGAAATATCCTTCCTTCCCTTTCACAAATGAAGTGTCATGCATTCTTCAAGACCTAACTAAAACTTTACCAAGCTAACCCTCAAAAAAAAAAAAAAAAAAAAGGAATGAGCCCACCTTTGTACTTAGCCAGTACTCAACTCTTATTATAGCACATCATCACACTTGTCTAATCTGTTTATATATTTATCTCTTCTTCTAATAAGCTGTAACTACTTGAAGGTAAAATCAAAAACCAAACCCGTTACCATCAAGTCAATTCCGATTCACAGCAACCCTACAGGACAGGGTAGAACTGCCCCATAGGGTTCCAAGCAGTGGCTGGTGGATTTGAACTGCCAACTTTTTGGTCAGCAGTCGGAGCTCACCATAGCTCTTAACCACTGTGCCACCAGTGCTCCACTTGAAGACAAGGTCCATCTTTTCATTTTCATCCCTGTGTCCCCTGTGACTAGCACATGGTAAATATCATTGTTGAATAAAAATATGAACTTAGATGATCTCTGAGGACACTGCCAGCTCTCATAATCTATTAGTATAAGAAAACAACAATAGGTTTCCCCCATGAACATACAAACAACCCCAATGACAGGGTATACTATTTCAAAATACCACAAAGTAGTCAATTGCTTCCGAAAATTCTAATCACTGGAATACTAAATCTCTTGCCCTTATGACTCTTGCAAAGAATTGATGTAAACTATAATCAGTATGGCTGATTCAAAAGGCATCAAAAACTCACTGTAGAGCAGTGCCCTTGACTTTGTACATGCCGTCTTTTCCTCCTTCAGCACTTGTCTTCCCGTGCTGACCTGGGTAGCTCCTACTTATCTTTCAAACTCTCAACAAGTGTCATCTCCTCTGAGAAGCCTTTTTATGATTCAATAGGTAAGGATTAAAGTAGGCTTCTTTTCAGTTTCTATAACATCACATGTTTACCATATTACTCCTAGTTTATAATTCATGGCCTGCTTATCTGTGTTCCTCAATGGCTGGCATACAGTTGGTAGAGAGCTTTTTCACTGAACAAATGAGGTTTATTTCCTTATTCCCTTGATACTACTTATCTCCCAGGTAAGACATGTTCTAACCAAACCTTCTTTCCAGGCCAGCCAAGAATTCACTCTCGATTTACCCATTTAACAAGGAAGTTTAGGCAGAACTGCAAATAAACAGAATCTGGAAACCTGACAGACATAGAAAAAGACACAACTGTCAAACACTGAGGTCAGTAAATGCTTGAGAAAAGAACAGGGTTTTACTGGATCACAACAGAAAGGTAATATTCCTTTAGAGTCGTAAAAAATTATTGTGCCTTCCTCCAAATAACTCAAGATACATAACTAGAAAAAATTCTTCACTATATGCACATTACTACAATGTATAAACTTAACCATATACCTAATGTAAGTACAACAGTCTAAACGTGACTATGTATATACATAGTTGGAACCCTGGTGGCACAGTGGATAAGAGCTCAGGCTGCTAACCAAAAGGTTGGCAGTTCAAATCCACCAGTCGCTCCTTGGAAGCCGTATAGGGCAGTTCTACTCTGCTGTATAGGGTCGGTATGAGTCAGAATTAACTTGAAGGTAACGGGTTTTTTTAATACATATAGTTATATATATTTAACTATAATATACAAATATATGTATAAATAGCTACACACCGAATATAAATGTACAAATTTAACCATATATTTTTATACGAGCACTATTTATAGGTCATCTATAGTCACAGAATTCACAAGCCTGAAGAGTAATGCTACATGAGCCTTTTCCTAGTACTCAATCTACAGACAGAACTCTCTAAATTTCACACTAGAATTTTCTAACTACCCCCCATTATTACTCCAAAAGTACACCCTAGTAATAACTTTAATTAAACAACTTACATGTAGAGATCAAGAGACTAAACATAGTACTTTATATTTTAAAGAATGCATTGAGTAAGTTGAATATACAGTTTACTTCTTAGGAAATTTTTAAAAACACACAAAACAATGTCATATATTGTTTATCATTACATATATATAACTAAAAATATTTTAAAAGACAGGAAGTATTTACTCTAAATTCATGATGGTAAAACTTGATATGCGGTACAAAGGAGTTGAACTTTTTGTATTGTTTCATTTATTAACAACAATTATTGAAGCAAAGTGTTAACCACTGTATCTGAGTGACAGAATCTTGAACTTTTCAGAGCAGTTAAAAAACTGTTAATTGTACTTTTCTGTATTTTTTTAAATTTCTTAAAATTAAAAAAAAACTGAGAAAGAACGCTTTGACATGCTATTCCCACACATCTTACAACTATTTCATAGGGAAAACCACTATTCACTTCTTTATTACTCACGCTGGAAAACAGAACCCCAGCGGGCTTTGTCTAGGTTCATGCTGCACATCAGTGAGATGGGTGGATGAGAACTGTGGTCTCTAATTCTTTAGTTTACTTAATTCATCACTCCAAAGGCCTTCCTTTCACAACTGCCCCCTGGGTTTACTAAACTGATGGGAAAGCATACTCTCATAGTTTAGGCCTCACCTGTCCCTGCTCCAAAGTATTCCCTAAGCCCCCTGTATCTAAATGCTGCCATGGCTCTGTTCACTCTCAAAGACCACAACACAGTGAGGGCATGGCAGGCATTCTTTTTAAAACTGCCACCTTACTGAAAACACAAACAACCTGTAAGTCACAGGTCTTTACAATGAATTATTAAATTATGATTCTTCAAATAGATAGTGAAAACTAGGGTCCTCAAATTATGCTTTCTACATGACTAAAACCAGTGGTCTGCTGAGGAGTTCAGGACGAAATGTGGGAAAGAAGACAGAAAAATTCAGCAAGAGGAACATAATGTTACAGACTTGGGAAACAACAGAACAAAAGGCTTAAAAGTGTGAAAGTGTGAGGTGTTATTTTGGAAGAAGCCATGAGTTCCGTGGTTATGGACAGAAGTGGAACAGATGAGCTTAGAGAGGCAGGTTGAGACTATATATCTAGGACACTGAACTCCATTCTGTGAGCAAGGAGAAAAGATCGAAGACTGCAGAGTGGAGTGGCA